CGATTAAAGGAAATAGACCGCGAACATACCTTTTTCTTGCTACCGTGTATTCTCCAGGAGCACTTGAGCAGATGACTGCTGAGGATAAGGAAGACCCATGTGAAGGGAACGTCTTGGTGTACACCATAGTGTCGCCACTACAAATATTCTAGATTGTATGGAGCAGTGAACTGGATGCAGAAGCGGCTGTCTATAGAGTTTATGGAAACTACGGAAAATTCCGCATTATTCGAAAAAGCACACACATTTTGTCCAGTAGAAAAACAGATCGTATAAATGAGAAGCGAGAAGACACATGAACTTCAAGCGCTCCCTTTCACCTATCCCAGAAATCAATGTGAGTAATGATTTAGAACAAAAGAAGAAAAGACCAAAAGTAACACAGAGCAGAGGTGCTCTTCCATAATCAGATGTAATACCAAAAACTCGTTCCTCACCAAAATTGCGTGGGAAATCAACTGAGCCATGCTACACTAACCATTATGGTACCGTTTGTCAGCTTACATTATTTATGTAAGAGTACTTGAGATGTTAATCACGATTACCATCCCATCTCTTTCGTAAAGTCTCACTAATGGCGGTTGTTTCAAAATATTTGATAGAAAGAGCCGAGATTGACCCCTATTTGAAGCTTCATTTGGGTCGAAGAATCAGTGAACCAGTATTATTAAGTAGACTTCATGCAGAAATTGGAACAGGAGTGAAAAAATAGCTTTTATAAGAAGCAAAACACACTGAATCCAGACTTTCAAAGGACCTACGTCTTGTTCGCGGTCCAACCTATAGGCTCTGGCCGAGTAATTTGTACCGTTACTGGCGATTTCTGCAAAGATCTAAATACAGAGATCCCATGAAATAAAAAGTTCCGAAAAAATACGCAACAAACCGTAGGGTTTACCACTTTGACCTCCTCTACTATCAATTCTCTCCTTGTTCTGTGGACATAATGTGTGCGAAAAACACACATACACTCACCGTCCTAAATGTGACAACAGTGTGCAGGTGGTTCAACAAAACCGATCATATAACTCACCACTGCAAAACATTTAATGTTTCTAACCCTTCCAATGATAAACTCTGTGAAGGTGGACTCCGCGGAGGACCCACCACCAACAACATTCACGTGGACAAGGGGCTTGAAGCCAGTGGCAAAGTCAAGAATCTTTGATCCATTGGAAGAGAGTCTTAATGGAGGTTGTAAATAACGCGAAAGAAAACGGAGACAAGCACACGATACTTACACCAAAAAATTGAATTTGATTGAGTTACTCGAAACTATGCGGGAAGAATCAAGTGTATTAATAAAATTAGAATAATAAACAGAAAATTACAAAAAATATAAAAATACGGAATTAGTACAAAAGCAACAAAGAACACGTAAGATGTACCGTAATTCTTCGTCTACATCGATGCCTACATGTCCATTTCCAGCAAACTTCACCACATTCTCATTAATGCCGATAGACATGTCCTGGAATATAAATTTCCCATCAGTAAAGGTCGGCGAATCTCTTTGTTTTCAGAACGAAGTGGAAGGCTTGGCAAAAATTTCCGTGATATAGGAGGAGCGGGATTATACAAGCATCCGCAAATTTTTGAGAAGGCTCCCAAAGTTTTGGCTGGTCTATAGCTCCGCGGCAACCATGCCCTTTTTAAGAAGAAACAAGCCATGTGCGCTAACATAGTGATAAGTACGTAAATTCGAAAATTCAAACTGTAGTGCATTTTGCCTAACTCAACGGATGCGATCTGAGAGAATAAGGGAGTATAAAGTCGTCTGCAACTGCTACGGACCGGACATATGTTCGAGAAAGTGAATTCTGCGATTCCTGTAATCCCTGCAGTTGTGATTCTTCGACTTCCGATGTGCCATACTACGGACGCTTTGCGACCAGCATGCATTGTATTTCCGCGATATACATTGTTGTGGGACTCGCAGGAACCACAGGAATCGCAGGAATTGAAGGAATTGCAGAAATAGCAGGGCCAGTCTCCTAGGCTGACATGAAGACTTAATGACTCTATACTTTTGCAAGACACTAGAATGTCAAAAACGAGAACCTTCCTTTGTTATCATTGTGCAAACATAAAACAAACACGACTTGCCTGAACAGCTATATCCCAGTTCTTAAATCGTTCCATAACACATTTTGCAGCTGGTGAGGCGGATCCCGATCCGGTTGATATACCCAAACAGTATACGACGAATATTATCGCACATATAATGATGAGCAATTTGCGTTTTGGATAGCGACTGACGGTTTGGAATAATTCTTCGAGCTCAATATCTTGTAACAACCGAACAAATTTACGCCACCATATCGATGCGTTCATCTGAAAGCTTTCACTAAGATGCAAGAGCTGAGAATCGCAAGAAAGAAACCCTAGGAACAAAAGACCCCGCCTCACAATCCCATAGCGTTACAAAGAAAATAGACTAAAAGATGCAAAGAGTCAGACATGCGGACCTTTTTCCTCAAAAAATACTGCCTACAAGAAAATTCCCTTCGCATTGTCTCATCAGCAGCAGCGTTGCGAAATTGAACGTGGATTTCCAATAATTATTTTTTCTTACTGTAATGCGGAATGTGTGTTCGCCGTGCCCACTTGTTTTTAATCACACGTCTAATTAATCTGCAGCTGCACGCGGCAACAAATTGCTGCTGAACTGCGATAACGGGTCACTCTTTGTGTGGAGGGACGGGATCCTGCTGGTGAGTTTTGAAAGAAATTGCACTTTGAATCGTATCTATTTTTTTGTGCACGAATTAGCAAAATGAGAGAATCGTGCTAAGTGAAAGATTATTTGTTCTTTTCTTTCCAGAAAACCTGCAGTGGTTTCCAAACTTTAGTCTTTCTTTTCTGAGCTGCTTTTGGAAGATTCTATTGAGTTTTGGGGTGCTCAAGATTCATCAGTAGGACACAGCAAAGAAATCTTCATATCTATGAAAATATGACTTTTTGCTTTGCAGGATGTTTTCACGGAGTAAAAAGCAACAGTTGCCCTCATATATTGAAGGAACACAAGGACAGTATGTGAAAAGAGACAGTCCTCCTTTAGTGCCGTCCCTGTCATGTGAGTTTATGATTATCTGTGCTTTCACATCAGTTTTATGTATCCAGTTGTTTCCTTTTTCTTCTGATTTTTTTCGATCGTCTTTTGTGTTAGCAAAACCTCGGTGATCACCTCATAATGGGGGACATTTTAGCCCACACACATACGCTGGCGAAGAAAACGACAGCCCCTGCGGTGGATCGTACTGTTTCTAACAACAGTGTGACATGTACGCCCAAAACATCTGTGACTGTCCCACAGCAGCTGCACGCTGAGTCTACTGCATACAAGGTGCGTTATCGAGTGAGTAGTTTTCCTAACTCCACGAGTACAGGACGCACCTGTTTGAATTCGACCAGCCTGAACACACCAAAAATTTCGCGATCAAAGAACCCTATAACTTGCTGCATGTTGCTTGTCGGGATCGTGCGGCATAAGTTTCGTCTTTCGAACGATGCGGCTGAGCGGCCCGTTTGAAAAACCGAATAAAGTGCGTTTTGTACTCGTGAAATTAGGGCACTTATCAACATTAATACATCATAAAAACGAGTCTCGTATTTATTCCACAGAATTACAAGGGAAGTCAGTTCTCATGTTTTTAATCGAAGTGACATTTCGGATGAGCTTTGTACCATCTTGTGGAGGGTCAGACCTGATTCCAGATCTGTAGTTGGTATCTGCTGCGCGCCTGTGGTCGCCGAGATATGATTTGAGTCGAATGAACATCTAAAGCAAAATCTTTGAAAATCGCATAAATGGGCCAGTGTTGTGTATTAGGGCACTTCAAGCAGTGGGTGCTTCCAACTATTCAAAATAACTCATGCTTGCCACTGCTCTGTTCTTGCTGTGAAGTGATCGTCGACTCAATCTATCCGAAATGTACGTTCATTTTCGATCCGAATACCATTCATAACTCTGTGGGTGGAGGCGCGCAGCAAATCCTAGCACAAATTTGAACTCGGCGTCTGATTTATTTCCCACAAAATAGTACAAAGCTCACCCGGAAATGCCACTTTGACCAGAAACACATTACTTGCCAGAAGATGCTTCTGTGAGCTTACTTACCATCTACTGGAACGGGTTGAAGTTCATATCTTGTTGTGCACACCATCACTGCACTAGGATAAACACATAGTACAGTATTTTTGATACCACTCTACTGAGTCTTTGATGATGTGAAGTTTTACCATTTGATCTGGTCGAATTGCCATGGTCAGCGTACAACCTAAGGGTTCCTTCATACTACGCCGCGCACGCCGCGTACGCCACGTACGCCGCGTACGCCACGTACGCCGCGTACGCCACGTACGCCGCGCACGCAGCGTACGCCGCGTAGGCCGCTGCAGCGCAATGGAAATATGGAAATATGAAGAAGAGAAATCCTTTTCATCCAGTGATGTGTTTGTAAGGAGATGTTAACAGCGCAAATATACAACCCGATACAACATACAACCACAGATACAACATACAACCATACAACCATACAACCATATACTACCAATATACGACCAGATGACGCAATGTGCAGTCAGTTACGATACAAAAAGTGAAACTCAAAAGTAGAGGGAGCACAACAACCTAAGTCATTCCATCAATCATTGATATAGACAAAGGATAGTCAGGATAAACAAGGCAAAAGAGAAGAAGAATTGCATATTGTGAAGGATACTATTGAGGGACACGAATGTGCAGCAAATATAGAGATACATAAAAAATAAAGTGGAGCTTTGCCGCCGTGAGCATATTTCCATTGCGCTGCAGCGGCGTACGCGGCGTACGCGGCGTACGTGGCGTACGCGGCGTGCGCGGCGTACGTGGCGTACGCGGCGTACGCGGCGTAGTATGAAGGAACCCTAAGCGAGTTAGGAAGTTATTAGCAAAAACCATCATTATACTGTGACGTTACACTCATCCATTACGATGTTTTAATAACAGTTTTGTTCAGAATGAATCGGTGGGGCTGTACGCAGAAAGTTCGGCGATGCGACCGCATTCGGAATCAGTTGTTAGTGTAGCTTCTACGTACTCTTTACCACCATCTCACAGCCATCTTATGGTGAACCATATCGATGCTGCAGATGAACGTAAGAGTCCGATTGGAAATCTGTCATCTCAGAGTTTTAGGTAAGTTTGGGATTATCAGCCAACTTTACTACTATATTTTTGTTTTGCAAAATCAGCAACTGTTTTACTTTGTATATATAAGAGGCCGCACCATTGTTTGTAACATGGTTGTCGAGATTTGTCGAAAGCTGTCTCGCAAACCGAGTTCCTTTGATTTTTCAATTTTGGCTTTGCCGCATACTCGCCTAAATAATGATGTTCGATGTTCATCCGTCGACTTAAAATAATTTTCACCTCGGACTTCATATCAAACTTTATTGCAGCGATCCAAGCAAGCGAGAACACCTAAAGAAACCGCTGACATCATCTCACAGCATCGGGAACGTAGAATCGTTCATAGACCTGGGCGCAGAGTTTGTTCTTCGGAAATTTTTCAAACCAATTTGTTGTTTGCAACTATTTGCTTTTGTAGACACGTCTCTCCAGCACAGCAGCGATTCGTCTCCTTGCAAAGTCTGCCAGGTCAAGGCCGACAGTTTGGCTCTTCGATTATAGGTAAGCTTTTTTCCAACTTTTATCTCTCTCCACTTTTTACGCAATTGCTTTTCAAGGGGATAACTGTTTGGTATCTGGTGCTCCACAACAAGATGAGCTAGAATTACCCTTACCACCTAATTGGGCTATAGAAGTGACACCCGATGGTTATAGGTAGCAGTTTGATCTGGATGCACATTTTCTACCATATCAAAACCGTTCTAGATACTATGTCGATCATAACACCTGTCGGACGCACTGGATCCATCCTCTAGCCCGTGAAAACTTACCACCAGGATGGAATAAGATTTTCCAACCCAGCACGGGTGTCATTTATTACAAGTAGGTGAAATTATGATGTTTTCTCAAGTTTATAAAAATTGGGTCCCTACCGTCTTGCATACGTAAGAAACACTACTGGTTCTTAGCAGATGTGCATCGCGAAGCAGTATCGCGTACTTGTGGCTCAAGTCGAAATTATTCTCCTTGCTGCGCAAATCCCAATCCGTTGTGTCCCATGTGGTCTAGTGGTTAGGATTCGTGGTTTTCACCCACGCGGCCCGGGTTCGATTCCCGGCATGGGAATTCCTTTTGGCGACCAGTATGCTCGGTCTTGATTCCATTTTCGTAGATTTTTTGCTTCAGCTTGGACCTCTTTTCGTAATTCAGTTTAGACTATTTCTCATATGCTTTATATTTGTCATATCGATCGACCCACGATCACCATGTTACTTTTGAATGTGCCAGCGTGTGTTTTAGCAAACAATCAGTTGATGTTTAGTGAAATGGATGGACGATCTCAGGTCGAGCATCCAGGTTTGGCACAGCCACTAAATCAACCCATAAATCAGCCTATTGTCCCAATAAACAGGACAGAATCTATGATGGTAGCTAGTCGACGCACTGAAAGTGCTGTGGAACATCTGAATATAATACATCACGAAGGTAAATTAATTTATTTTCTTATTTTCCGCTTTGACACTTCTTTTAGTACTTTGATTATCTGCATGAAGAAGAGGTGCTATTACTCAGGTTGTGACTATGAACTTTTTTCACATTTGTTCGTATAAGCTTCTCTTCATGGTCGAGCTTGCAATTAGCTTGCAATATCAAACCAGTGTCTAAGTCGAGGCGCCAAATGTCGCTTCGGAAGCGAGAAAAACGCTTTAAGATAGTGAAGAGGCTTGAGGAACTTAAGTCGGCACCGCCCCCTCCAGTAATGCCCGCCCATTCGTGCGCGCCCATCCAATCACCGTTCCGGAGAACCAGCTTGCGGTTCTATGGAAAGGGGATTATCGGGTTTTCGCGGATTCTCGACTTCACATTCGGAATCAAGGACATGAGAAGGCCCCGGAACGACTAAAAGGAAGTCGAGAATCTAGGTGGACGATGCCTTCAAGCCGTTTTTTACATAAAGCTAATACGATAGGTGGTCTCATCTAGCTGTAGAATTTTTCTGCACCGATCACCTTTTCATTTCGGTCGGCTTATAGGTACTTTTACAAATTCATATGACAATTTTAGAAGTACCCGAATGGTTGCTGATGTATTCGCAAGCTGATACATCGCTGGATCATTTGCTGGAGGTAATCTCGGAAAAATTCTAGAAGTCTTCAAAGCTTCTACATTCATCATTTACAGTGGGATTTATTCAACACAATGCAGCTGGAACATTATGAAGAGATGATGTTGAAGTTATACAAACAAGAAGTCATTGATACAGTGCGGAGGTTAGTGTGTAGTGTTAAACTGTTGCCCACAGTCATCTGATGTGTTTTTCCTTAGTTTTGAATGTGTGGTCAGTTCATCTCCTAATTTTGCGCTTACCTTGAACAACCATGGAAAATTATCAAGCTAGTGAAAAGAAAACCAAATTAGCGTATTTGCGTAGTTCAGATTCTACAATTCATCGTTTTCTCTTTTAGATACGAAAGAATGCGTACAGTATTGAATAAAGAAATTGTACGTAGAACGCAACCGCATCCAAGAAACGAAGGACAGTTCGCCAATTCATCTTAAAGGCAGCGTCCAGGCAGATCTGGACCTATGGGGCTTTTATGTGGAAAGTACTTTTGGGGCCCTAACTAAGACATTGCTTAAGCGGCAGCTCAGGTAGTGCTGTAATGGCTGAGATATTCCCCTCGAAACTGGACCCCGCGACCGTGTTCCGCATGGATTCATGGCGCAAAGCGTGGATCCTGGCGCGAAACTGCCATGAATCCATGCGAATACGTTCGCGGGGGCCAGTTTCGAGGGGAATATCTCAGCCATTAGAGCGCTACCTGAGCTGCCGCTTGGGCAATGCCTTAGTTAGGGCCCCAAAAGTACTTTCCACGTAAAAGCCCCATAGGTCCAGATCTGCCTGGACGCTGCCTTTAAATAGCTTGACCTTTATCGAGTGTTGCAATAACTAGATCTGCTTATTTGGCTCAGCATGTATACTAGCAGCTTTAGGCCCCGGACAGACTTCACGCGATTTCGTCGCGACTCAATCGCCGACATTTCTATTCATTTTCATTTCACATTAAAAAATCTCGGGCTGGAAAAGTATCACAACCGAAATGCAAGTTGATCGGCATGGAATGATGTTGTAACAGTTGTCTCGTCGCGATTCAGTCGCGACGATCAAATCGCGGGAAGTCTGCCCGAGGCCTTAGACCAAGTTTCAGATCGAAACTCTCTTTCAGAAATGTTCTTTTAGTGCTGTAGAGAACTCCATTATTTGTCTGGTGGAATAGTAACGCTTTCTGTGATCTATTTTGCTTTGTATATAAGAAGCATAGTTGTCTTACATCTACATGTTTTTAAAAATTGCTCTAATATCGTGGTGCCTGAAAAATGTACATATATGTGTTGCCAATTTGCTCATTGAGACAGAAAAATGTGCTATAGTTCTTGCCAAAGAATGTGATTTACAAAGTGTCTTACATGTGTGTTTTTGTTTGTTTCGCTGCTTATTTCTACTTTACGTTCGTCATGTATCTCATGTAGAAATTTCCATATCTGACCGATTGATATCAATAAAAATCCAAAATTATTTCATCGTATTTTGAAAGCACCAACGGTGATATATGATTTTTATCGTGTTTTATTCTCAAATTTTCCTCAATACGTACAAATTCTGTTTGTGCACATTACCAACTTCGAAATTTTTCCGAGTGGGATGTATTGGTTCGGATATTTTTCCTCTGTAGGTAGCCAGCCATTCGTAACCTAAATGCTATGAATGAAGAGAAAGAGAAAATAAAACCGACGCTTCATTTGAGAGTACTAGTGGGATAGCTTCACAATTTATAGACCATCACTGTATCTTTCTTAAATGACGCAGATTTATGCTAGTCTTTCCGCACCCTTTTTTCCTAGAACTCCTTTTCTCAATACTGATTTGGGCACATATTTGTTAGTGCTAAACTTCTCTTTTTCAAAGAAATTTTTACCAAGGGAACGTATAATTGCGTGAGATCGATGAAAAAATTATGCCAGGATTGTGCTTACTTACTTAGATACTTAGATGGCCCGTTTTCACGTGGCTTGCGGGCCCCAGTACAGAAGAGTTTCCACTGATCTCTGTCCCTCGCTTCGGACATCCACGATCCTCTTGGTCGTCGTCGGTGGCTGTGTTCACGAGTTCCAGGTGCGATAATCGTATCCAGCTTATTTCTCAGCTGGTCCATCCGTTTCACGAACACGTCTGCCCATCTCGTCGGTGGTCTTCCTCGAGGACGTTTGGCTTCGCGAGGAATCCACTCAGATGTTCTTAGTGTCCATCTATCGTCCGTTCTTCTCATTATGTGACCGGCCCATCGGTGTTTCGCTTTCGCAACGTATTCCGCTAGGTCACGAAGACGGGACATTCTTCTCATATCCGTGCTGCGAAGTCCGACTAGATGTTGCTTGTGTCGGGTCATCTTCAGAAGACTGCGCTCGAGCGCTCTGTGGGTGGTCCTTGAAGCTTTCGACGTGGCTACGGTGTCGGCCCAAGTCTCAGCTGCGTAGCAGAGCGCTGGGAGAACGGTTGAGTCGAACAGGTGGGCACGAAGCTCCGGGTCCGTCAGTTGGTCGGTGGCTTCCTTCAGAGGCCCGAAGGCAGCCCAGGCTGCTCTTCTTCTCCTGTTAAGTTCTTCCCTCAAGTCGTTCTCCATGTTCATCGAACGTCCGAGATACACGTAAGAAGACGTCTCCATGATAGGGGTGCCTTCCAATTCCATTTCTGCATCTTCGCAAGGGGCGTTCTTCATGAACTGAGTCTTCTTCCGATTTATTCGCAGTCCGATCTTCTTCCCTACTTCGTTTAGTTCCTTTAGCATCGCCTCTGCTTCAGTGATACTGCTCGAGAAAAGGACGATGTCATCCGCAAAACGAAGGTTGGATGGGAATCTCCCATCAACTCGTATGCCTCTCTCTTCCCAGTCTAGTGACTTCATCACCCACTGCAAGGCCGCGGTGAACAGCTTCGGCGAAATAGTGTCGCCTTGTCGAACCCCCTTCCCAATTGGAATGGTTAGGGGGCGATGGAATAGCTGCAGCGTTGTTGTACAGTCCTTGTAGCAGTCGGCTAGTGTCCTCACGTAAGCTGGTTCCACTCCTTGATCGACTAGCGCAGACAGGATGGCGTTGGTTTCGACGCTGTCAAAGGCTTTCTCGTAGTCGACGAAGGTTAGGACGAGAGGCAGTCGGTACTCCCGGCAGACTTCTATGACCCTCGAAACCGTCTGGATGTGGTCCATGCAGCTGAATCCTTTGCGAAATCTAGCTTGTTCTTGGGGTTGGGCTTCATCCAGTGTCCTAGATATGCGTGCGAGGATAATCTTCGTGAAGAGCTTGTACAGCACACTCAGCAGGCATATTGGACGGTAATTTCGAAGATCTTCCCGTTCACCCTTCTTAAAAAGAAGGACGGTTCTTGACGTTCTCCACTGGTCGGGAATCCTCTCTTTCTGAAGGTAAGATGTCAGGTGCGACGCGAGAATCTCGTGTAGACGTTGTCCTCCGGCTCGCAGAAATTCGACGGAAAGATGGTCTGGTCCTGGAGCCGTGGATGTCTTCATGGTCTGAATCGCCGTGCGCACTTCAGCAGGTAGAATTCGTGGTGGTACATCTCCAGTGGGAACAACGGGCATCGGCACGGGTGTTGATGAGCGGAAGAGGTTGGTATAGAAGTTCTTCGCGATAGATTCCATCTTGTATCGGGAAGAAGTCGGAGTCCCGTCTTCGTTCAATAGTGCAGCCAGTGGTACGTGATATTCACAGAGGTCCCTTCGGCATTTCTTAAGACTTCGTCTTTCTTCGGCTGCTTCCAGTATCTTGGCTTGCCTGTACTTCCTGAGATCCTCCTGCAAAGC